TCTTTAAAAAATTCATTCTACCTACTGGGAAGGAGCTTATCATAGAGAAAGATAATTCTAAAACAAAAACCAACCCACACCTTAAAAGAGAAAATAAACCACACATTAAAAAAAATCTATCACTGAGTCATAGTAAGGTTTTGTTCCAATCTACCCTGCTCCTGAATATAAGACATAATTGTATGCTTCTTCCAGCAAAGACAATCAATATGATGAAACTTTTCCACCCTACTGGCTTCTATTTCCTACAGAAGTTGCCAAATGGCAGGGAAATTTTCCAGACTATAATTTCCTCTACAGGAAAGTCTTACGATGGGTTCCACGAATTCCACAAATCAATGCAAGCCGACCACACATCCGTGACCGCAAAAGATTAAAAGGGAAAGTCCTTCAATAGATGTCACATACCACGGTTCTGAAACTACACTACAGCAGTGGTTTTCAAACTACATAAAGTAGCACATCTCAAAATACCTTTCTTCAAAAAAAAAAAAAAAAATCATAATAGTACAAAACAGAATACATGCAAACTCCTAAGGAGAGCTACTGATTTGTAAAATATGTTCGAGTTATGCACACACACGTGAATATATTTCTGTCTGTAGGTCATGGTCAAAAGAAGATTGAAAGCCACTGCACTGTAGACATACAAGCAGTGCAAAGGGTAGAGAAGAGAAAACAAAGTGAGAATGTGTCATCCATTGAAGACGCAGGATGATAAAAAGCCTACAAATTAACCCAGTACCACAGCAATGTTCTCACTGCGGCTTCTGCTGACTTTCCAAAACCAAGACAGAGGAGAGCTGCTATTGTGGCCTGAATTTTGTCTCTCCAAAATTCATGTTGAAGCCCCAGCTCCCAATGGGAGTATGTTTGGAGATAGCACTTTTAAGGAGGTGTAAGGTTAAATACGGTCATTACTAGTTTGGCATGCCTGGTGTCCTTGTAAGGAGAGACACCAGGTTAGTGCATCCACAGAGAAAAGGCCACGTGAGGATACAGAGAGAAGGCTGCTGTCTGCAATCCAAGGAGAGAGGAGACCTCACCAGAAGCCAACCCTGCTGGCACCTTGAGGCCAGACTTCCCAGTCTCCAGAACTGTGAGAAATAAATGCTTGTTTTTTAAGCCACTCAGTGTATGTGTGTAGGGGGCGGGAGGTAGAGGTGACGAGCAGCACTAGCAAGCTAACGCAGCTGTCTAAAACCAAAATGGATAGGAAGATTGTGGACTGTCCTGGAAGTCCGATTAGCAAAATTATGCCTGTCTTATTAAGACCTCCAATTTTTCAAAAAAATACTTTTTCATTGTCTAAGAAAATGAAAGTCCAGTAGATCTTAAACTTCACCCACATAAGAAGTCAAAAGTCAGAGTTATAAATCCCTCTGCAAAACTACAATTCAGTATTAGGAATCTCAGGTAAGACCACAAAACGAACAACACTGATGACTTAGGAACAACCAAATCCATGTTCTAAGAACAACCAGAGGATGTCAACAGAGGACATTTTCTAGATGCCTGACGTGTGTCAGGAATTTTGGTCCATATACCATACACATAATGTCACTTACCTCCATAAAATATTACAAGGTAACTGCCAGTATTTTAATTGTCTAGGTGAGAAGAGCAAAGTGAAGAAAATAACCAACCCGAAAGCCACTTCATCTGACTTGGGCCTGGCTCTGCCTGTGACAGCGTCATGGATGGAAGCTCCCAGTGGCTGAGTCACACTGAAACGCACACACAATGTTTATTCTCTTAGGTTTTTCCCAGAGGTATTTTCAGGAAATAAAACAAGCATCTCATTGTCTATGCCCACAGCTTCTGCATGGACACTGCCACAAGGAACTTGATCCAAGCTTGATTTCAAAAGCAGCTGCTTCTCTCTGCACAGTCAATATCCAACTGAATTAAGTGCCTTCTCCGCCACCTAAGTCTTAATCAACAATGAAACAGGCATTCTGTGTGCTTAGTTCAGATCTGTTTCTCTGAAACGACAGGACATTTCTCTACAGGCCAAACACTAACCATCTACTGTCTAAATGCCTGGGCTAAAAGCCATACAGACTACAAAGGAGTTAGTTAAAAGTCAACTGCCATGGCAGTGTCATTCCCAAATCTCACTCAACATTCACCCTGTGCAGGGTAACTCAGGATCAAAGAATTCAAGCAAAAATTACAAATGAAGGAAGGAAAGGGTTGGAACAAAAAGCCTTTGATTTTCAGAAAGCTGACATTCTTCAAGTGGATACGGTAACATCTAATCTGTAAGTCGAAAGCAGTATCTTTACAAGAACATATAAAAAGTTCAATGATCATCCCATCATGATTTACAAGGTTTTTAGTCAGTTATATTTTTCACTATACAGTTTAAGAAAATAAGCTTTAAATGTTTCTTTTTACAAAATGTCCTTGGCTTTTTTTTGCCTTCAAGTGAAATTAAAGAGTCCTAAAAGTGAAAAACAGACAAACTTAATCTCTGACAGTAAAAGTAAAATAGCCTTTTAATTTATAACTGAAATGGTCATTAAAATGTCCTTGTATTAGTACCAGTAGACACTTTTCAGAAATAAAAGCAGGAATAGAAGACATAGGAAAAACATGATCTATGATCAAATGAAAAATCAGTAAGTAGAAACAGAGTCAGAAATGACACAAAAAATACAGTCAGACCAAGACATAAAACAGCTATTATAAATATACTCTAAGGCCAGGCACAGTGGCTCACGCCTATAATCCCAACACTTTGTGAGGCCGAGGCAGTCAAATCACCTGAGGTCAGGAGTTTGAGACCAGCCTGGCCAACACGGTGAAACCCCATCTCTACTAAAAATACAATAATTAGTTGGGTGTGGTGGCGGGCGCCAGTAGTCCCAGTTACTCGGAGGCTGAGAAAAGAGAATTGCTTGAACCCGGGAGGTGGCGGCTGCAGTGAGACGAGATCACGGCACTGCACTCTAGCCTGGGCAAAAGAGCAAGACTACGTCTCAAAAATATAAAATAAAATAAAATAAAAATAAATATACTCCATATGTTCAAATGGTAGAAGAAGGCACAAGCCTGTTGAGAAGCCAAATCAAA